TTTTATTTTATTATATAATAATATATATATATATATATATATATATATATATATATATGTGTGTGTGTGTGTGTGTGTCTTTAAGTATTTATAGAAATATAAATAAAATGTGATTTTTAAACATAAAAGTAATAATTTTATTTAGTTATACAATTGAAATAAAATTATTTTGGATTTAATTATTTTTAATAAAGATTATTATTGTCATTTAAAAACTATATTACATATCTTACATATATACATATAGATAATTATCGAAATATTATTTACATATTAATAAATAAGTTTTTACTACTTACCATTTCCATTCTTGATTTTCTTTTATAGTAAGTGTGAAAATTCCTTCAAAAAATAATACTAGAATTGGGCAGCTTAAATACCAAAATAAAGGATTCTTTTTAAATGTAGTTACTTGCCAAATTGCAATAAAACCATGAGATGCAAAAACTAATCGAGTAATAATTGCTTTGATTGTGGCTAAAAATTTTGCCATTATTACAAATCATTCAATTATTTGATCAACATTATTTTTCACCTAATAAGTTTTTCACCAATTTTTTAATTTTCAATTTGAAAACTATATTTTTAAATTCTTTCTTAGAATAAGAATTAAAAAATATTATTTTGGAATATATTTTGGACGTTGTTTAACTTAAGCTCACTGTATCAGAACTAAAATAAAAGTATAAAGGTTCCAGAGGGTTTGGATTCAAATAGTCTTGCGCATGCGTTATTAAAGTAGTATTATAATAAGTATATGTTTAAAGAAAAATTAATGATATCGCTAGACATCAGTCATGTAAAGATATTTTAAAGCTAATATTTTAATAACTATAGATAAATTTTACATTAAAGATCAAGATATAGATATTGTAATTTTTTAAAAAAGACATGGTGAAAATATACTGAATTAATATTTCGTATTTCATGTATGATTACTCGCTAAGAACAAGAATAGACAAGAAGAACAAATAGAAGGAAACGAACAGGTAAAAGTTTGAGAATCAACGCCATCTTTTGAGTGCCGTTAATGAAATTAAGAAATAAATAATAAAAACATCAACCAATTTTTGAATGCTACAGCATAAATTAAATACAAGAAAATTAGATATAAATTCTAATACTTAGTGCGTAACTTCATTAAGAGATATAAAAATTATTTCATCTGTGACAATGAGTGTAAAAATTATATTGAGTTCAATCACAAAAGTTGATGAAGTTAACAGATTTTAAAAATAATTTCTTTAATATCTTTACCTAATATTATCTTTTCATAAATATACATACAAAAATAAATATTTCACAGATAAATATATAACATTACAAAAATTTTTGTTGCGAAATTGAAAAAATTTTACGTGCAACCTGCTATTGAATTATATTCTCTTAATACAAAATTGAAGATTTTGACAAAAGTTTTTGATCAAATATTTATGATGTATTAAAGAAATTATTTTTAAAATTTATTAACTTTATCAGTTCTCATTATTAAATTGAATATAATTTTTACACTCAATTGTCATATAAATTCTTAATTTGTCAAATAATTCTTACACTTTTTTATGAATTTAATTCGTAATTACTGTCGGAATGAATTTTATCATAATCAAATTCTGTTTTTGGAAATGAAGATTGTTATAGAATTAAGAAATTTGCATCACAATAATACTTTGTTTGATTGGTCTATTCTTATATCTAGTCTATAGTCAAAAATAATTTTTCCAAATAGGATGAAGTAGAATAAACATTGAAAATCAACGCCATCTCTTGAAAATTTTTGAAACATATATCTGATTTGATTTGAGATGCGTTTGCATTTACTTTTTACAGTTATTTTTTATGATATTGAAGATTTTTTAATTTTAATTATAGAATTCAGAAATATAAAAGTTCGTTCGTCTATTTTATCATTTGAAATATCATGTTTGTTTTGGATAATAATGAAAAATATTCATATAAAAATTGATTTTATAAAGTGTATATTTTAACAAAAAATATCTGTGAATTTTGTTTTTTTTTTATGGAATTACATATTTTCTTTTTTTCTAAATTTTGAAAAATAAATTATTTTTAATTACAATTTTTTAAATTAATTTATTAATTTTGTAACAATAGATTGCAAAATAATGTTATTGTATCGTATAATTTAGGTATTAATTAAGGTATATGAATCTACTTAAAAGTTAGTCATTACTTTATTCAAATTTGGTTATTGATTTATCACAAATAATTCAATTTCTTTTAATAGTTCTATAAAAATAAAGAATAGTTTGAGAATTATTTCTTAATCATAATATTAAAATGCATTGTTTGTTGTTTAATAATAAATTTTTTAATTAATTACTTATTGAAAATTAAATTTGATAGAAGTAACAAGCATCAATATTTTTTTCTTTCAATAACAATTTTTACTTATAAGCAAAATGACAACTTTATGAAATACAAGGAATTTGTATTTTGTAAGTAGTTTATAAAAATCTATCATACGCTTCTTACAATAGTTTCTATAAGGATTTCTATTTCAATTAAAAAGTATCATTCCTTTATTAGAATAATTCTAGGCTTTATTTATGAAACCCTTTATTTTTAAGCAATAAATATTTCATTTCTATATACCATCATATTCAGTAATATTTTCAGTGATATCGCGAAAAATATTCATTTTGTTATCAATTTTATTAAGGGTTTTTATATGAACAGATAATCAAAACCATATTATTTTAAAACAAACTAATTATTATAATTTGTTTGCATTTTATAATTCACACATATTTCACTTTTCTTTTTTAAAACATATATAATTAATCATTTCTTAATCATTCTAATTATTTTGATTAATTATTGATTAATTATGATTTCAATGCAATCTATTTTACCTTTAGAATTTATTTTTTTTTCATAACATATAGTTTTTGAGATAAAACTGAATAAGAATAATTCAATAATTCGTTTTAAACAATAAAAATGCAACATTTTATAATTAAATACATCTGCTAGACAAAAATTAAAATATTAAAATTTTAATTGAATATAACATACCGAAATTTACAAAATATTTTTCTTTTTGTATATAAATTACTAAAAAGATTTTTTTATTATAGTAATATCTATTAAACCAAATTTGATTCAAAATAAAATTTCAAAAGATTAATATAGGTCATTTCCTAATTCATCTGTGCATATTTACGTGTAATTCTCTCATTCTTTAAAAATCACCAATGGAAACAAATGAATTATAATTTTTTTTCTTAATTATTTGCCTCTAATGAAGCCACAAAATAATAAATCCACTATTATTAATTCTATTTAATTAAGTACAAAACACGTTCTTTTAGTACTCTCGCGTGTTCTACGTGATCGTGTAACGTGAAGCATAAAGAAATACGCTAATGATTTCTATCTTTATATCGTACAGGAAAAGATATGACTGCTTTTTTTTGTTTTTAGTACATGATATGCATTCAAACATGACGCATATTTTCAAAAACTAAAAAAACATTTGTCTGATATTTCAAATAAATAAGTCAGATGTGTTTTTAAGCACCTTTTAACAGTTCATTCATTTGCTTAATTATTTGAAATTCTATTTTATTTATTTGTAAGAGTCAAATAAATCTAAGTTGAAGAATTGATCAGCTATTAATATTTACAGGAATTAATGCAATAATATGAATGATTTATGTAAATTTATGAAACTACAGTCATTAATGATTAGAGCAAGTGAAACTTAAGCCATTACGAAATATTTTTGCCATTCTCATAAGAGTTCAGAATTGAATAACTAACAGAGTTTACAAATAACTCTGATTAATTTCGGTCAGTTTTCTTGTCTATTAATATCAACTTTTATAATGATTCTATTTTCTATTCAGCAATAAAGATCTTCAAACGATTTTTTTTTTTAAAAACTCTTATCTGTATGCAGCTTTGAATATACATTCAAGCAGTTCATTCGTAAATGAATTCTATTCAATATCTATATTTTGTATTCTTTTTGCTTTATGTTAAAACTTTGATAAAGTGAAAGTAGCAAAAGCTATGAAAAAGAAAAACCAATAGAAAATGTTTATTTTGAATTATTAATTTTTTAAAAATTATTTTCAAATATCGAAAGAATCGATCAGCTTTTGATACTTTCCATTCTCTGAACTGATTCCTAATAACAATATTCTGTGAAACTTCAAAAATTTCTATATGTTGTTTTAATCAGTGATGGAAATTTGAGCAAATCCTATTAATGCTTTATCATCTGGTACTTCATTGGGTGCATGACCAGAATTCTGAAATAATATTGTTTATAATTAATCTATTCAAATATAATTTTAAAGAAATTTTAATTAAAATTTACCAATGAAAACGTTACTGTTCGTAACTGGCCGGCACTGTCTATGAGTTTTTGTAAATTCGCTGCTATCACAACGATATCTTTGCCATCAACCAATCCTGCACCAACTAATTCTGCTGCAATTCCTTCGGCAGAATCCACTCCAACAGCAAATTCAAATCTAATATCGTTAAGCTCTCGCTTATGGTTACTAAATAAAAAAAAATTGTCTATTTGATATAACATTTTTTATGCTAGAGAAAAATAAAGTTTTTGTTAGAAAAAAAGTAATAGTTATAAAGGATTAGGAATTGGAACATACTCGAATTTATCCACAAGGGAAAAATGGGTTTCAGGACTTCTGAAATAAGAATAAATTATTGTAAATTATAATAATTGGGAACAAAAATAGAAAATTATAAGATAATGATTTTACATTCTAAAAAAAATTTTCTAAGAATTATAACTTTTAATTATTAAAACTTTAAAAAATTTAACATTTAACGTTAAACAGAAATAAAATAAAGTTAATAAATATTAAAATAAAACATACCGTAATCTCAACACCAAATTTATAGGAATACTTGGTTCATGCTGCACAACAATATGGCTTTGTGCTGATTTCAATTGTCCAAAAAATTCTTCCTCCTCTTCATCACTAGTAGATACATTTTCAATTGTATTAACTGGCAAAGCCTCTTTACTTTCATCACCACTAGACACACTATCTTCTTCTTCTGAAGACCAAACCCATTCTCCTGTAACTGTTCTGTGTAAACGTCCCGACGTGCCAGGTTGTCTTTTCGAAGCCTAAAATAATTATATAAAATATTAATATAAATAAAAATATAGTTAACAAAATAGTATAGTTTAAAAAATACACCTTTTGCACTCGAGTTTCAAGACTAGGACCACAAGCTACCAAAGTCTGTTGTAAATATTTTTTATCTTTTGCTTTCTTGAAAAATGGATGTTTCAGCAGTTCCGTTGCTGTTGGTCTGTAAATATTATTTTTAATATTTAACGTAAATAATTTTTTTAAAGTTTTAAAAAAATTTCAAAATTAACCTTTTTGTCGGATCTTTTTGCAAACAATCGACGATCATTTTTCGGAATGTTTTGCCATAAGCTTTATATTGATCTTTATCATCAGCAGCAGTATCTAAAGTTGGTGGATCATTTTGTAAGGTCAACATGAGCACTTTCATTGGTGGATACTTATGATATGGAGCAGTGCCACTAGCCATCTCAATGGCAGTGATGCCAAGTGACCAAATATCTGCTTTGAAATCATAACCATGGTCCTGTAAAATTATTTGCATATCATAATTGACTTTACAGTGTATATGTTGTGAAACAAAATATCGAAAGCAAAATTAATCATGCTGTTTATTAGTAACATGCTTTTTATTTCACTAATAGTGAGAAATAAAAGGAAGTTGTGAGTTTTAATAAATATTTTTGACAAATATTTGTTACATGATTAACATACTCAAGAAAATATAAACAAATATAAAAATATTTAAATTCTTCAAACTAGAACGTTCTTAAAAAAAAAAACAAAAAATGTTATGAAACAAATATAATATCTAAATTTTAATTTTTTTAAAATAAATAATTTTGTCTATTCTAAATAAAAAAGCATAAATATAAACATCAAAAATGCAGGCTAAGAAGTTGTAATGTTACTTTCCTCTCTCACCTGCTCCATGACCTCAGGTGCCATCCAACAAGGTGTGCCCACAAATGTATGTCTAACTTTCTGTCTGCTCAAATCTCGACCAGTTGCTAACCAGGCACTAACACCAAAGTCAGCTATCTGTACAGTGCCATCTTCTCCTAGTAGGATATTACCGGCTTTTATGTCCCTAATATTATTCTGTTATTAAAATTTGTCTATGCATTACCAAAGAATCAAATATATTCACTTTGCATTTCATAAAAAAAAATTATCGGATAATTCGATAACATTTTCTGATTCGATTAAATACAAAATGAAACTAATTTAAAAAATTTCTTTATAAATAAAAATATATTAACATCATATATGAATAAAATTAGAAAAATTTAAAGATATTCAAAAAAAGTAAAAAAAAAATCTAAAAAATTTAAAAAAAGAAAAATTTAAATTTATTTCTAATTTAAATATTATAATTAATTTTTTTTAAATTATTTTACAAAATTATTTTTATATTATTATAAAAATAAAATTGGTATATATTTATAATTTATAAATACAAAAAAGAACTAATAAAATACCTATGTATTTGCCCATTACTGTGAAAATATTCGAGGCCTTTAAGCACTTCTCGTAGGACTGTCGCTATTGTAGCTTCATCAAATACTCCATGTTTACAATTTGTAGTTCTCGTTTTGTGTTTGATAATGTCCAATAGAGATCCACCCTCTAGCAACCTCAAAACAAGCCAAAGCTCCTCTTTTACGACAAATGACGTATAATACGTGACTACATTTTCGTGATTGCAGGAGGACATTGCCTGTATTTCTTTCTGTTTATAAAAGAAATTTTTTTTTAAATAAAATTATGTGTAAAAATCGATATAATTTTTATATGTGTGTATATTATATTCTATATATGTCGATATATTTTCAAATAATTTTCAAAATTTTTCAATAATAATGATTTAATATCTTCAAACAATAAATTAATACAAATATAGATCAATTTTCAGTTAAAAAGTGATAATCGCGATAATACAATTAACAATCAAGGTTTTGCTCTATAATTCAATGTATATTATTAAGTAATTTATATATAAATAACTTATATATATATAATATTAAAAAAAAATTAAAATTACCAAAAGTTCATCCATGCTTGTGTTCCATTTTTCTAAGTTTATTCTTTTGATCGCACATTTTTCTTGCCGTGGAATGCAAAATGCTGCATGTACTACAGCAGTGGCACCTACGCCTACAATAAACAATAAATATATATATATATATATATAT